AAAAAGTTGATGTTTTCTCTATTTTTTAGAAAGCTTTTCTTAAAAACAATTGAAACAAGGAAAAATTGCTTCAATGCCCCAAACTTGAAAAAACAATGTGGCCCAGCCCCCTGTAGTTTGGCCCATGTGGCTAAGCCCTTAAATTTTCAAAAAATTGTAATTGAGCCCTAAAAGCAGTTATGACACCCGTATTTGCACCCAGCCTCCCTAAAATACCCCCGCCTTCAACTCCGTGCCTCGAAAACGAGATCCGATCGCTGGCGAAACCTCTCCGTCGCATTTAAGGCGAGATGATGGCCGTTTTGGGGGGAAATTTTGGCGCGCTCCCTCCGTTATATCTCCTGTTAACCCACTCGGCTTTGAAGAGAGTGTATTTATGGTGCAAAGGGCAGATCTTTGCGGTTAGGGCTTATGATCTTCAGCCCCCTACTTGTCCTAAAGTGCCCTTCATAACTCCTCTTAAATCCCCTTCATTTATGGCGGAGAGCCCCCTTATTTGCATGGTTTCCTTGGGTGAGAGAGCAGTGTTCTCAAGGGTAACTTCTTCAACCTCTTTTTTTGAGTTTAAGTTCGACGTGGCTGAGAGGTTGAAGGTTCCTTATGATGCGCTATCAATGGTTTATAAATCTGAAAGGATCCCTGATCTGAGTTTTGAGATCGAGAATGAGGATGATATGGAGTGTATGGTGGAGCACAACCGTAATATCGGGTGTCTGGAGATCCATATTCGAGCTAATATAGATGTAGATGTTTCCAGATGTGAGAACACCCCGAAGCAACCACCTGAAAGGTAAGTTATATTTACACTTAATTTATTTGAAAACTTATGAATTGCATAGAGCAGGTTAAATGTTAGCTTTTAACTGATATATGTTAACTTTCTACCGAAGGTTGTTAAGCTTTAGGGCATATTTGTTAACTCTTAAGGGTACTGCATTATTTAAGTACAAGTCCTATTTGTTATTTTAAGAAAAACCAATTATATTTGTGCAGCATTATGAATACACTGAAGCCAAAGTTTATTGATAGTACTTCTGCTGCAAACCATGGTTCTGAAAGAATTCCAATTGATAATCCCAGTGGTAGCAGTGTAGTGCGTTCTGATGACATTATTAACAACACAGTAATGATTCCTGGTTGGTGGCATAATGCATTAACTGAAGAGGGTCAAGAATTTGAAAGTGCTGAAGAATTAAGGTTGGCGATGACATACTATTCTATGGCCAAAATGTTTGATTATGAGTTTAAAAAGAACGAACCAAAACGTATCCGTGTATATTGCCGATATAAAGAAACTTACGAGTGCCCATGGATGTTGTTTGCTTCACCTGTTAAGAATGCAAATAGACTATCGATCAAGAAGTTTGTTAATGAACATACTTGTGGGCAGTACGGGCAAAATACAGGTCGTTCAAGGGCATCCCGTAAATTCATTGCAACACAGTTACAACCACTCCTGAAGGTCCGTCCAGAAATCCGACCCGTTGATGTGCAAAAGGAGTTCCTCACAAACTACGGCCTTAGAATTGATTACAGTAAGATATGGTGGGGGAAAGAGAGAGCACAGGAGAAGCTTTACGGGGATATATATGAGTCGTATGATCAACTACGATGGTAAATGCTGAGCTTTATTATTAACTTGTTAAGTTCCAAAGTTTGCTTGTTAAAACAAATAGTTAACATGTTCCTTGTTAAGTTCATTGATAACATTGATAACATGTTAAGTTTCACGACTAACATGTTAACTCTTGTAAATAACATGTTAACTCTTGTTAATAACATGTTAACTCTTGTAAATAACACGTTAACTTTTGTTAAGTTACCCCAATAATGTGTTAGCTTTTTTTGGTCGCTTGTTAAGCTACACGGATAACATGTTAACTTGTTGGTTTGTTTCTTCTTACACGACTAGGTATGAGCGCATGGTAAAAGAGACAAATCCCGGCAGTTACATACATGTTGACCAGAATGAGGGGAGGTTTTCGAGACTCTTTGTTTGTTATGCTGCATGCATCAAAGGTTTCTTGAGTGGATGCAGACCCCTTCTATTTTTGGACGGTACATTTTTGAAGGATCGATATAAAGGTATTCTCCTCTCGGCCATAGCATACGATGGGAACCAAGGTATATTTCCCTTAGCGTATTGCATATGTGATCAAGAGAATTTGATGAATTGGAAGTGGTTCCTCCAAGGTCTATGGTCCATACTTTATGAGAGGGCTGACCCTTACAATCCTCCCCACCAATTGGTTATAATTTCTGATGCGGACAAAGGAATTAAAGAATCAGTAAAAGAGTATTTTCCAGAAGCTCTACACTCGAGGTGTGTTCTACATCTTGTTGAAAATTTCAGGTTAAAGCTTAAGGACTTGGGTATGAAGTCGAAGGACACTCATGTTCTTGGGAACTTACTCCAAAGTGCTTGTTATAAATACACAATAGCAGAATGGAATGAGTACATGAAAGAGATATATGACATGGATCCAAGGGCATACAACATTGCTATGAACTACTCTCCTGATCAATGGGCAAATGCATTCTTCCCGGGAATAAGGTAACGTTATTTGGCTGTTCTATATCTATGCTAATGTATGAACTTATGCTATTTAGCATGTTATCTTTGGATTTGTTAAATTCTATATCAGAGCTGTTAACTATATCAGAGTTGATAACATGTTAAGTCTTGTTGATAATATGTTGAGTCTCGTTGCTAACATGTTAACTCTTGTGGGTTACGTGTCAACTCTTGTTGATAACATGTTAACTCTTGTGGGATACATGTTAACTCTTGTCGAAAACATGTTAACTCTTGTGGAGAACATGTTAACTCTTGTGGGATACATGTTAACTCTTGTGGAGAACATGTTAACTCTTGTTGAGAACATGTTAACTCTTGTGGGATACATGTTAACTCTTGTGGAGAACATGTTAACTCTTGTGGGATACATGTTAACTCTTGTCGAAAACATGTTAACTCTTGTGGAGAACATGTTAACTCTTGTTGAGAACATGTTAACTCTTGTAGAAAACATGTTAACTCTTGTGGAAAACATGTTAGCTTTTGTTTAAAACATGTCAACCCTTGTTGCTAACATGTTAACTCTTGTAGATAACATGTGAACTTTTGTGGCTATATGTTAACTCTGATAGATAACATGTTAACTTTTGTGGAGAACATGTTAACTATTCTGGTTAACATGTTAAATATAAGAGCTTATCTGTTAACTAATTATATGAGGATTGGTCTTACGCAGAAATATGTAGATACAATCCCGTACTGCTTGTTTAATTCAGCGTTCTCTGGCAACTGCAGCCATAGCCGTAATCTGTCTAAGAGTGCCTCTGTTACTTTATCATCAAGTCTTCCCCCGCGGATCATATACAGTAGATCCGTGTATGTAATTGCGCTGTTATCAGTAGTTATGACATATACGTACCTTAACAAGAAATAAGTTACGGAGGGTTAAAATTTAAAACATGAAAAGTAACATCTAAACGCAAAAACATAACAAGCAAAAAACACAGTTTCACAGTTAATATTAAAGAGTTAGCATTAAACTACTTAACATATTATCTGTCGTGGATAACATAATAACACTTGTAGCTAACGTGTTACCTCTTGTGGCAAACATGTTAACTCTCGTTGCTAACATGTTAACTCTTGTGGGATACATGTTAACTCTTGTCGAAAACAAGTTAACTCTTGTGGAGAACATGTTAACTCTTGTGGGATACATGTTAACTCTTGTGGAGAACATGTTAACTCTTGTGGGATACATGTTAACTCTAATTGATAACATGTTAACTCTTGTGGGATACATGTTAACTCTAATTGATAACATGTTAACTCTTGTGGGATACATGTTAACTCTTGTCGAAAACATTCCTTTCAGCTGCTGTGCAATAAGCTTCTTCACATTGTTCTTTAAAATCAAGGGATCTACTATGTCACAAGATTCGTCCAACCCCTTAACCTTTTCGTTAAGTCTACGAATCTCGTCCATGAAAGTTTGACAATACAATTTCTTCGAGACCCTCAGTGTACGGCAAAGTCTCTGGTTTACTTTAGCAGCATTTCTCCAAAATTGCAGTTGCTCCTCAACCGGTAACGTTTCAATCTCATCTTCCCTTTCGAAAGCCTCATCAATGGCTTTTGACATTATCTATAATTTAGAAATAACAAAGAGTTAAAATCAAGTTTATAAAGGTTAACAGTAAGTGGTCCACAATTGACACAGATAATTAAAGGTTCTTCAATCATCTATAGGTAACATGTTAACTCTTGCTGCTAACATGTTAACTCTCTCTGGTAACATGTTAACTCTTGTAGCTAACATGTTAACTCTTGTGATAATATGTTAACTCTTATTGAAACATGTTAACTTTTGTTGCTAATATGTTAACTCTTGTGCATACATGTTAACACTTGTAGAAAACATGTTATCTATTGTTGGTAACATGTTAACTGTTGTAGAAAACATGTTATCTATTGTTGCTAACATGTTATGTATTCTTGTGATAATATTTAGCACCTTAGAACTTACCAAACCTATTGACCATCTCTTCTCATGTTCCTTCTCTTCTTCCTTCTTTTCAACCTTCTTTTCTTCTTCAATCTTCCTCTTCCTTACTGCTGCTTTCTTGGCCTCCCTATGTACGACTGGTAATTGTGGTACAATCCCTTCCCTTCTAAGCCTCATCAATGGCCTTCTGATTGGATATTTCTCATCGGATGGGCCAATTTCAGCTATTGGTTTTTGTACAACCTGGATGCTAGCTTTTGCAGCCTTGGCAACTATTGTTCTATTTCTAAAAGATCCATACTTCTCACCAATCTTCACCCAGTTAGTGAGGGGTGGTTTGGATCTATTGCTCAAGGCATATCTTTTAATCCCCGTCATTTCATAATACCATAGCTGCAAGCAATTAATACATGTTAGTATGCAATACTAATCTTTTAAACATGAATATAGTTAACACAACTCATCTTGCAATATAGTTAACACTGACAACACCAACTTTAATACTGGAAACACTAAAGTTAACATGAACCGAAATATAGTTAACAAGATCCTTAGAATAGTTAACATGAACCAGTAAGCCTTAATGGTTTCTTGACGTAAGTTGACAGAAAACAAGCAAGCGTTCACATGCACAGATTAATCCAACTTACAGGGATCAAAGGCATGCATCCAGGTACATAGCTTATTCCTGACCTGTGCAGACCTTCCCTGGCTATCTTAATTCCTTTCTTCGTCTGATCATAGATGTATTTCCCCCAGGCCACATTCCTCACTCTTTCAATTGAATCAACATATTTGAACAAGAGCCTTGGGATGCCTTGGACACTGCTAGGGCACCACATCAATGAACATTGATAAAGTATCTGCAGTAACACAAAATCTTCAATATCCTTCTTCTTCCTTGATTCAACAAGAGATTGCAGTAGCTCTTCCACATATCGCCGCATATTCTTCGCTGATTTCTTTCCCTTTCTAGTAAAACGTTTATGAAAATACTCCACCCAAAGCCTAGGGTAAGGATCTCTATTATTGTAAATTATTTCCCCATCAATTGGGAAACCTGTATGTTCATGCACCCAGTCCAAATCAAAATTAACAACCTTTTCTCTCCCACTTTCGGCATCGGGCAGAGAAAACGCCACTTCATTACCCTTATAGTGTCTCAATACAAGTTCCAGCGTGGGTCGATCTTTTGCTGGGGGGCCAAACTTTACATAATGCTGGAATGTACACCCTTGGTATGCATCCCAATGACACTGCCGCATTCTCGGTTCGAGGACTTTCATAAATTTACAATATGCGGAGAAACTTGCAGTGGGTCTAATTTTAGCAGCACCTGACTTTTTCCTGTATTATAATTAAACATTTAACATCAACAACACTTGACATCCAACATCCAATAGTTAACATGCAACAATGAACTGTAACAGTTACGCTATAAACCTTAACACTTAACAGCCAAACTTAACATTAATAAGAAACCTTAACACTTAACAGCCAAACTTAACATTAATAAGAGGTATATAGTTCACATTTAACATTAAGGTATCAGCTAACATGTCCTTCAACCAATGTCCAGGCATATAGTTCACAATTCAACTTCAATCCCTTAACATCTATGTAAATTACAAAATATAACATATAACATTATCTTACTTCTTTATGGATTTATGTGGTGCGTTTAGTGAACTTGTAATTTTTCTTTTTCTCCTTACACCCATCTGGAAACTCAACAACGTTTGGGTGGCTTCATCGGTGCTGCCATTCCCTGATGATGACGCATGGGTGGACGACGACTTGGAGGCAGGGGAGGATGTGAGAGAATCGGTGCCACGGTCGGTCTCAGATGGCAAAAGGGGGTCTTCGTCGGTCTTGGAAGGCGAGGGAGGATCTTCGTCGGTCTTGGAAGGCGACGGCGAGTCTTCTCGCTCGTCGTTCATTGGTGCATCTTCCTGACGTTGCAGCGGCGGCGGAGGATGGTGAACCACTTCGTATTCGTTCGCCGATTTTTTCTCCATCTGCGAACTGGTTTCGACCTAACCCTAGAAGCGGTTTTGGTTTTTCGCCGGAGAGTAAGCCAGAGACAGAGTGCGGGAGGGAGAGAGACGAGAGAGAGAGAGCGCCTCGATAGTAGCGGAGTGGCGGCACCGTTACCAACGCACGATGGCTGTAGCAGAGTGGGCGGGAAGGGTAAATTCGGGATTCTGAGGATTGAGTGAGCTGGAGGGGCTAAAATGAAGTTTTGGAGTGTATTTTGGGTTTATACCAAACTTTAAAAGTACATGGGGCTGTTGCACATTGTTTTTTCAAGTTTGGGGCCTTGAAGCAATTTTTCCTTGAAACAAACCTTAAGTTTTGAAATCCTTCTTAATCCGAAAAAGCTAGTTTCCTAAAATTTTGGCCCAAACAAACAGCCCCTTTTAACTCATGGCATTCATCAACCATGAACTGACAGTAAAACCCCCATGAAACTAAACCATGCAGTGGGGGACACGGCCATGGCAACTCAATCCAACGCTACTCTCCCCTCATCGACGCCTGCCTCTCCGCAAGTCCCCTCCCACCTCCTCCTCACTCCCGCTCCTCAAAACCGGCCTCACCTCTCACACCCTCCTCGCCAACCAGCCTCATCAGCCTCTAACTCCTCCCTCCACCTCCTCCCCTCCGCCGTCGCCGCCTTCTCCGACCTCCCCTCCAAGAACCTCCACTCCTACAACACCCTCCTCTCCTCCCTCCCCCTTCGGGACGCCCTCCACATGTTCGACCAAATGCCCGCCGCAACCTCGTCTCGTACAAACACCATCCCTCCTCCTCTCTCGACGGCCGCCACCGCAGGCCTTAACTATTCGCCGACATGCAACAGCTCTCTCATTTGACCGCCTTTCACTGTCGTCGCCGCCGCTACCTCTGCCGCCGCCCTGGGCGAGTCAAACACCCTTAAGCAGATACACGCCGCTGTTATTGTAAACGTATTTGGCATGAGTTTAATCATGGGGAATGTGTTTGTGGACGGGTATGGCAAGTGTGGGGATGCGGAGTTCGCGAGGAAGGTGTTTGATGGAATGGGGGAGAGGGACGTGGTTACGTGGACGAGTTTGGTTGGAGGGTATGCGAGGGCTGGGAGGGTGGAGGAGGCGAGGAGGGTGTTTGATGAGATGCCGGTGAGGAACGAGATATCGTGGACGGCGATGGTGTCTGGGTATGAGCAGAACGGGGAGGAGGAGAGAGCGCTCGAGTTGTTCAGGGAGATGGTAGGGGAGGGTGTTGGACCGACCCCGTTCACGCTTGTGTCGGTTTTGAGCTCGTGCGCGAGATTGGGACTTATCGGTAGGGGCAAGCAAGTGCATGCCTACACTGCCCGTCGAACTCATTTCAACTCGAATATCTTCACCTGCAATACCCTCATCGACATGTACTCGAAATGCGGCGATGTGGAATCCGCCTCTGCAGTGTTTCATTCGATGAATGAGCGCGATGTAATCTCTTGGAACTCGATGGTTACTGGGTACGCGCATAACGGTCTAGGAACACAGTCACTAGCCATATTCGAAAGGATGATCGAAGGTGGGGTTTCACCGACTCATGTCACGTTTCTCAGCGTCCTATCGGCCTGCAGCCATGCTGGACTTGTATCTGAGGGTCGCCAATTCCTGAATGTTATGAAGGAGAGATATAATGTGTGCCCAAGCAGCGAGCATTATGCTGCGTTTGTGGATGCCCTCGGGCGCAAGAAAAAGATGGAGGAAGCAGTAGAACTGATCGATAGCTTGCATTCGAGTAATGTAGGGATATGGGGGGCTTTGCTCGGTGCCTGCCAGGTTCACGGAGATCTAAAGCTTGGTCAGAGAGCTGCAGAGACTCTATTCGCTCTCGAACCTGACAATGGAGCGAGATATGTGACACTGTCGAATATTTATTCAGCAGCGGGGAGGTGGGAGGAGGCGAAGAGGATCAGAGTGGTGATGAAGAAGAAAGGGTTGAGGAAGGATGCAGGGCATAGTTGGATTGAGGTGAGGAGCGCGAAGCATGTGTTTGGTGCTGCTGAGGGTAAGTCTCATTCAAGAAGTGAGGAGATCTATAGAATGCTAAATGTATTGGTTAATCAGATGATGGATGAGGAGGAAATAGACAGAAATGAATTTTTTGAAGTGGTGTCATCAATACCATCAAATTCTTGACGAATTCAATTTTGAGCAGTTGTAAATTTGTGATATTCTCAGGCAATCAATAACTAAATTGATGATTTATTTATTAGTATCATGCACGAGGAAGGTGAAAGTATATGAACTGGATGGAAACGGAGAAGTTCAAATGTAAATAATCAAACTTACCGTTATTGACGAGTGAATCAACTGGAGCCTTCTCATATATTAGAGTTTCTCCTGCAATCCATCATGACATTCGATTAGGCATTTCATCTGGAGGTTTCCGGCGATGTTTTCTTTTTTTTTTAATTTATTTGCTAAATAGATGCCAAGCGAGCAACAAGGTGAGCCGCTAATCCTTTCTGAATTACAAACCCAACCTACCATATAAGTACTCAGCGGACCCTGCTCTCGACACATACTTATTCATGATTTTTTTTTTTTTTTGCG